TTGGTTACACTGTCTCCTCTTGGTAACACTGTCTCCTCTTGGTCTTGAACCAACTTTTAGGTGTTAACCATTACACTGGAGTAGAGAGCAACCTAAAATACTAGCTTTTACCTACTGCTGCTTCTTTTTACATCAACACAGTGCATATTTTTATTTAAATTGACCTGTACCAGATCTCCTTTGGAATTTTGTGCTCTGGCTTCATTTACTCTCTGCAAACAAACATTTCGCTGTAACAGGGATTAAATGAACACAAACACATAGCTGCTGCCATGCTGTTTGGTTTGTGCTGACACATCATCAGTCACCAGAAACCATGTATTGATCTGCATATAAAGTGCACTTAGCAGGAGTGCTGCAGGATTCGAGGGAGGGGTGCAGAGGAACATGAAAGGTAGGAATGGAGCAGGAGGAAGAAGATGAGACGTAGGGGCAGAGGGAAACAAAAGGCCTGCATGTAAATTTACAAGCCGTTATTAAGTCATGCGTACCTGAAAGAAAGCTGCTTTGCTGTTTTGAGTGTCCAAGTCACAGGAAACAGTAAAGGCGTAGAGGCAGTAGGATGAAACATTATCAAGAGGAGCAAACAGTAATTTTTCAGCAAATCCAGGGGTGACGTAGAAATAAGGCTAGGCTAATGCTTTAAAATAAGTAAATACAAAACGCTGTCTTTGTGCAAGCATTGTACAGCAAACATGTCAAAATCCTTAAATGAGCATCAAAGCAGCCAAGATGAGAGTCAGTCAGTCATAAAGTCATAAAAAGAATGCAGGCGTGTGCTGCGCCTTTGAGCCGAAGTGCAAAGTTTATAGAAGCAATCATATCATCATCATATCACATGAGTCCTGCTAAAACTACTAAACAATGTACATTTAATTCTGCACCACAACAGCAGCCACATTTGACATCATTTATCTAAGAGCTACAAATAAACAAACAAACAAATAACTCTAACCACGGGACTATTTTTTACATGTTATTACTGATGATAATATTTAATTATCCCATAAACCTCCTCAGGCACTCTAATATAAGCCTGACGCTGCACACTTTGTACTACTTCAAACATAAATAAAAACATAAAAGTACACATGAAACAAATGAACTCATTATAACACAGCTCACATCATGGACTCGTGAATGTCTCTTCAGTCAGTATGTTCAGGAATTACATTAAATGACGAGCTTTGGCATGAAAGCAGTGCCTCCTGCTGCAGCCACGGCTCACAGGCTGAGATGGCGACTGGTGGAAGCTTGTCTGTGTAGTAAGCAGGAGTCTCCACCTCCAACTCTGCTTTTGCTTTTAATTTCCTGCTACATGTCTGGGTGCTGAAAGCAGCATTCTGAGGAAAATGCCCACAGGACAGTATAACAGATCACCTTCACCTTAGTGGTTGAAACACAAGCACCCACTCCAATCATGACGATAATAAACTCAAAGTAAAATGTGCAACTTTCCCTACAATTTCCACAAATCC